CTAAGACTGTGTACCTATTGGTAACAGTTAGTGAGAAAGGCATCGAAATATTTAACTCTACTTAAACTGACATGAGAGGCATCTTTTCCAAGGATCATGTGACTGTCTTGTAGAGCTGCTATATATTTTTGTAAATAGATTCAGTTGCTTTAAAGAGCAATTTGTATCCCTGCACTATTTGAAAAACATTTTTGGAATATAATGAATTATTTCCATATGATTTGTAGAACATTACTCATGTCTAAGACTGTGTACCTATTGGTAACAGTTAGTGAGAAAGGCATCGAAATATTTAACTCTACTTAAACTGACATGAGATTATCTATTTTGGTCAACCAACAAAATAGAAGAAACCTTGATCTCTTAATTTTTGGTGGGGCTTTTCTAAATTTCTGTTCTATAAAAGTCTATGTTGAAAAACAAGCTAGCAAAATACCAAGTCTTACATACCATACTGAGCATTTTAAAAAAAAGAATCTTAAATATCAGTTAGTACTTACTGCATTCTTCTGGCAATGAATTATCTACAACTGAAAATTCTAAAATCAATGAGCATACCCATGAGTTTGAACTATGAGTTAATAATATATCAGAACCACATTCAATATTACAAGGAAAGATTTTGTTATACATTTCTCTACCACTCCCTAATTTGTAGTCCTGATCTTGTAGAACACTGAACCACTACTTCCAAATGTTGTTTTTTTCTATTATATAGTCCTTCAAATTGCTCTAACATTAGACATAAGCATTAAAAATAAGAATCTAAGACAAAACTCTATGCTTATATTACTGATAATTCTTTTTGCGTATTTACAATGTTATAATCTTGGGACTATGTTATAATCTGGCACATGCAGTAGTTTATCATGCATATTTTTAGTGTCTATTTTTCCAAAAATATTCTGCACATATAACAACACATATCCATTATTACTGTATTATACTAAGCCCCGTTATATCTGCATTCTTGTAGGTGACTTCTATTAACTAATAGAATGTCATACCAAAATGGCATGAGAATTATCAGAATAATCCCAAGAGTAAAATGCAAAACCCTCCATGTACTTTGAGATGGTCGATTTCAGAGCAGTACCAAATCACAAAAATAAAAGTGGGAACTTTGTAAACTTCAGCTAGGTACTCATATAGTACAATACTTAAAATAAATATTGCAAAGACCACCAAATACTTCAAAGGGTAAGAACTGCCAAACTCCATAAAATAATGCAGGCCGGATAGCCATTTCCAAACAAAAAGATGTAACAAACATAAGGATTAACATGGTATCTGACTAGTTAGTCCAGATAGGTTAATGGTCGACTAATAATGGGTATAAGCTATATATTTGTAGTCTAAAAACACATCTTACATGAGATTCCAGTAAGAGAAGAAAGCCCATTTAAATGCCCACCATATCCTGGCCTAATTTTGCTGCTCACACTCTGCCATTTAATCCATAACTCGTGTGAGCATGCTCACTTTGTACTTGTTCTCCATTTTGGTAGGGGTCGGAATATGACCTTTCCTCTTGAAGGTTGTAAAGTGCTTGCATTGAGGGCATGGCTTGGTGCTTGAGCCAATACGGCCAAGTTCCAGGAAGTATTTATATTTGATGATGTCATCATGTGGCAAATTGAAGAGGATGGTGGTTTCATCCAGATGTTCACTGCACTCTGTTATTGGACATGGGATATCTGCTTGCCCCACTTGCACCTGCATATAAACAGAAGAACATGTTGATAAGATAATATGTCACAAAAGTAACCTCATAGAACTATTCAATTCATCCTTTAAGTGAATAACTAGTCCTGGTCCTCACTTAACACCTGTCCTGTTTAGTCACCGTTTAAAGTTCAGATGGGGCTGAACAAGTAATTTGATGACTAGCCCTCACACTTATGACCATCATAGCATTCCCACAGTCATGTAACAAAGAGGTTAGGGTGCTTCACAACCAGCAGGTATTTATGACCTTCACCATATCCTTCAGTTACATGATCACCATTTTCATGCTTCAAAGAGAGCTCCCAACAAACAAAGTCAGTGGAGAAACTAGCAAAAAAGTTGAAAGTTGGGTGCACAAGGTATCTTGCAGAATGCTCACACTGCTTAATGATAAAGTTGTCAGTTCCAATTGTGGTTATTAAATGAGGACTACCTGGTATAAGGCAATGGGGTTTAATTTAGTATCCATTTTATTGTGTGTAACTACTACAAGCTATATTAATAAAATGAAAGGAAAAAAAGCAGAACCTATTAACATCATTATGGAATATTCTAATATAAAAACTAGAAGCTGTGGTTTCAAAGAGTCCAGAAGTTGGTTGGGCCAATAAAATAACTAATGCTCAGAGATTGTGAAGAGGGTTAATTCGCTAACATTTAAGGACAACCTCTGCCACCAAGTCTGTGTAGACAATTTTTTCTAAAAAAAATCTGCCTACAAAACAAATTCAAACTGAAGAATAAAGGTTTTTAATCTCTCATGTTTGCACAATTTAAAATTTAAAAATCCTCAAAAATTATCAGTTACCCAGACAAATTAATCTGTACTATGTAATAGTGAATGCTAGATCTATTAGGTACATCTACATCCATGAAACAAGGTAACAAAACTAAAAAAATATTTAACAGCCAAGACAAGCTAACAAACCACAAAAGACAATCATGATACAGCAGGGGTTGATCATGGAACAGCAGGGCTTGAGGGCTGCATCAGAGTTGTGTTTGACCTTGGGGAGGGGGCATGGCAGAGTGGGCGTGACCAGGGTGGGCGTGGCCAGTTTGATGTCACTAGATGAAACTGAGGTGGCCTGGGTGGGGCTGGGGCAATCCTCCTGCAGCCCTCTGCCAGTGAAAATGGAGCCCAGCAGGGCTGCATACAGGCCTGTGGACCAGATCTAAGCACCCCGTGGCCGATCCAGCCCCCAGGCCTTGAGTTTGACATCCCTGTGACACAGGATCAGGCTGGATAATAAAAACTTTTCTTCAAGATCTTACAGAAAGGCCAGTAAAGTCAGTGCAAGTCTAATCTCTGGGGCAATGCTGTTCCATATGGCAGGCACCACAACATAAACAGATCTGTTCCTGGGTCCCTGTGATGGGATGTGATAATGACTTTGTGTATTGGGGACAAAGAGAGAGCTCTTAACTTATGTTTGTAAAAAGAGGGTAAGTGATTTGTATTTTCAGACTTAGAAGATTCTGATAATGTAGCCTTAAAATAAAATAGAATTAGCTCATCATGTTTCCTGTCCAGTCTACCTAGGAAGGCTGACCGGTTGGTTCAATTAAGCCTTAAAATGCTTATTTTAGGATTTATTTTATTATGAGTATTTATACTTCAAATGCTATATGTTGTTTTGAACATTCACTTAACAGCTGTGGCAAGAAAGGTCATACAATGGGTTAAACCCACTTAAAAATGTTTCACCTAACAACAGAAGTTTTCAGCTCAATTGTGGTTGTAAGTCAAAGATTACCTGTTTACCACTTCACAGTGCTTTACAGCCCTCTCTAAGTGGTTTACAGAGTCAGCATGTTGCCCCCTACAATCTGGGTCCTCATTTTACAATCGTAAGAAGGATGGAAGGCTTGAGCCTCTCGGAATCAAACTCCTGGAGTGAAAAGTGATTTAGCCTGCAGTACTGCATTCTAACCACTTCGCAACAACTGCTCAATATAAAGTATATGCATCACACTGGCAAGAACTTGTTATAAATTGGTCTAGTTTCTTCCTAATTTAAAATTGTTGATTTAAATCAGCATGGTTCCAAAGCTTTAGGTGTAGCACCCAGAGACTTTCAATGTCCACTATCAAAATATAATGTGACAACAGCACAAAATAATTATGTAAAGTAATTATGTTGATAATGTTATAGGACTGTGCAATAATTAGGGTCAGTTCAAAAGACAATTCACATGCATGCAAATACAGCAACTGTCTGCATATCATTAAAGCAGATGTGCTAATTTTCCAGGTTTGCACAGCTACCAGAGGGAGGCTTTTTGTTACAGTTTACCAACTATTCATCCTGGTAATCAGATGCTGTTTTAATGATGCCCAAACAGGGCTGCCTTTGCATTCCTGAGTGTTTCAAAGCACCATTTCCAAAGTGAAACTCAAACATTTCACAGCCTTGATATCTCACTTTATATATTGTATAAGGGGTGCTATGACTTAGCAGTTAAAGACGCTGAGCTTGTGGCTAAAAAGCTGACAGCCAGGGTTCAAGACCCGAATGCGGTGCAATAGGGTGAGCTCCCATTATTTGCCTCAGCTTCTGCCTACCTAGCAGTTCAAAAGCATGCAAATGAGAATAGATCAATAGGTACCACTTTGGTGGGAAGTTAACACATTCTGTGTGCTTATAGTCATGCTGACCATACGACCACAGAATGGTCTTCAGACAATGCTGGCTCCTTTGGCTAAGAAATGGAGATGAGTACCCCGCCCTCCCCAAGTCAGATGTGACTGGACAGGGAAAACTTTTGACATTACCTTTTGTACTGTATATTTTATCCTAGCACCAGTCACTAATTTGTGGAGCAGGGCTTTCAAACTCCTGGCCTGTGAGCCGGATGCGTCACGTTCTGGCCACACCCACACCCAGTTTAGTGAAGGGGAAAAAAAGTCCCTTGTATGACATGAGTTTGACCCCCTTGTAACCTTGTACCTCGAGTGTAACCCAGCATGGCAATCAAAGCCGAGAGAAGACTTCAAACTTGAGAAGTTGCACATCATTGATTTAGTGACTGAACCAAAAATGTTGCCTTTTGGGAGTCCATGTCTTTTACTAAACTTCAAGCAGTAAGATGATATTGAACATCTCTCTACCCTTGATCTAAAAAGTAAGCAGACATTCTTTTGTTCTAAAAGTAGTAATAGTTATTCCTCAAATATACCAGCCCAAATCCATTCAAGATCTGAAGGTAGAAATCAATTCTATAAGTTGGACTTGAGAATAATATCAACAAGGACACAATATTCCACATTTTGAGGAATATTCTCATCTAAAATTATGTTTTCCAACCGTGTACCCTCCACATGTCTTAAGACTACAAACTGTGCTGAGTATAATGGGAGTTGAATAACAGAACAGCAACACAATGTTAAGAAAAACTTCTCTAAATGAACTTGCATTACTTATCAAATCCCTTGTGCTAAAATTCCATGCAGAAATGTAGATAAGACAGAAAACACCAATCATGCTATCATCTTTTTTTTCTGTTGGAGTAGTTGAATTTCTTTGGAAGTTCTGATCCAATTCCAGAATTGCTTAGTTTCAACAGCCTCAATGGATTATTTCAGAAAAAACGTTTCAACAAAAAATATTGGTAATATTTTAATTTCTGAATTTGCTGTAATTCCTGAACATTCAAAAAATCCACAGAGGGTAAATGATTGGCAATATTATCATTATATGTTACTTTTTTATTGTCAAGAAGCAGTCAGCCCCTCAATGTTAGTTGCTGGAATATTAACTGGAAGATACTATAGGGTTCTTATTTTGCTTTGACTTAGTATCTGGTTGTTCACAGCTATTTTCATAGTTAGGCCGTTCACTTGATTAGAGTTTACCAACTTTGTATTATTATTATTATTATTATTATTATTATTATTATTATTATTATTATTATTATTATTATTATTATTATTATTATTATTGTACACAGCAATGTGAAATTAAAGCTGCCAATTCTTTAGCTGAAGAGGGCCTTCATATACATCAAGTTCCTGCCAAAAACCTAGGATAGCAATGGTATCAGCATAGTAAATCCAAGCAGTGTGGTTTTGTAATTGGCAGATGAAAATTGTGTTATTGTGCAGATTTTCTAAGTGCTATCTAAGTTTTTTTTTTGTTTTTTGTTATGACACCCAGTGTGAACCACTGAGACCACTATGGCTGGTTTATGCAATAATCTTCCAACTTCAGATCTTGATACCTTGTGATCTTCTCCAACTATTCATCTTCTAGTCTACTATCCCCTGGTATTGTCATATCAGTTATCCACATTTCATTCTTTTCAACCACAATTAAATCTGGTATGCTATGAACCACTGTTTTCTTCTTGATAGTTGGCCTAATGTTAATTTTGGTGTTATTCTCTGCTCATCTGGATATTGTATTGCTGATAAAGAGGCATTCTGGGATTTTTGTTCCCTTTTTGGCTTCTTTTACTATGAACGGAAATGATTTCTTGATCATCACATTTCAATAGAGACTGTGAATTCAGAGGTCAAACTGTTCATACATGCAATTTTAATACAAGAATAAATTATTTGAAGACTAAAGTAAGGTTCAAAAGTACCATGATGTAGTATATGAAATAATACCGTATGGAGGCTTTACTTACATACTGCATAATTATTATAAGTATCTACTTGGTATTTCAGAAGCAAAAAATAATTGCTTCAAAAACAGGAACCAGGAGCAAATAGAATGAGACTCTAATAAGAGATTAATTTCTCACATCCCTGATATCCACTATTTATTGTCTATAAAGCTGAGTTTAGATACAACTATCTATATATTATTTAAAAGCAAGTATCCTGCTAAACATTTGCAATGAAATATCTGCCTTGCAATATTTAGAGCACTATGTATGTCAGCATACCAAAATGTGTTGACAATTCAGTATTTAGATACATTCATTTAAAATCTGGGGTATATAGCTCTTTGGGCTAAGGATCATACTAATCTTGGAATGGG